TCATAATCAGTTTAATAAACTTAGTACCTGTTCATCCCGTTATCTTCCAGCTGTATTTATATTCCTAAAGAAACTGAGAGGTGGGTGAATTTTTTATGTCCAAAGACATTCATTGCAGCCTTGTCCATAATTCCAGAAAATTGGAAATGGGAGGCTAGATGAGTAATGGATTTGAAAGCATTATTTAAATGATATGCTGATCCACTGAAGATGCCAGGAAGATAAATGGAGATGGAAATGTTTTGAACTTGCCCTTTAAGGATTTCTTAAGAAAATGGTCCCAGAAAAGGAAATTGACAATAGGCAGTAGAATTCAGGAAAAATGGTAAAAATCACTATAGAAAACACACACACACACACACACACACACACACACACACACACACACACACAAAGGAACTATATCAAAATAACACAAATCCACCTGAGCTTGTCTTTGGATGAATTTTCTTTTGTTCATTGTGCTATTTTTTGTCTTCCAAATTCTCTACAGTGAAATACCTAGTCTTTATGAGAAAAAAAAATAGTGTGTGTGGCTAATTGCTCCCACCTATACCAGTGGTTTACTCCTGCCCCTCCCCCCACCAAAGAGCTATCCCAATATAGTGATAAAAATCAGTCACCTCTGACCTCATGGTGTTGTCCAGGACCCTTTCCATGATTGCAATGCTCGGTGTCTTTTATCCTCTTCACTGTTCGTTATTGTATTGTTCAAAACACCACCCTGGAATAGGAGACATTAGTATGAGGTCAACTGAGACAACTTCAAACAACTTTGTGTGTGTGTGTGTAACTTAATTGTTTCCTGAATGATCGTCAGAAGGAATTGTTATAATTCTATATATAGCAGGTCCTGCTGTGTCTTAGAATTGCTTATGAACTTATCTTGACCTATGAACTTACCCTATGATAGCTTCTCCGTGTTTCAGAATGGTTTCTATGTTCTGGATGAAACAGGCCCAAAGTCAAGGGCCTATGCACTTTTCAAGCATACATGAATATCTGAGATTTGAGAAAAATGCTAGCTCTATATATGGAAAGAAAATTGAAAACTGATATTTTAGTGTTTTATTTATCTTCCATCTCCATACATTTGAAGACAGATTTCCCAGTTTGTAAGAATTTTCAAATTTCCACACTAGTTGCTGAGTAGTTAAAAAAGCAAATCCTGATAGAAATTTGGAGGCTGGAGAGATGGCTCAGTGGTTAAGAGCATTTGTTGTTCTTCTAAAGGACCATGCTTGGGTCTCATCACCCACATTGTGGCTTACAAGTCTGTAACTCCAGTTTCAGGGGATGCAACATCCTTTTCTGGTTTCCTGGGGAACTGGCATGCACATAATGCACATACATGAAAGCAAAAATACCCCCCCATAAAATAAATAAATCTAAAATATACTTATACAAAATTGTGTTTAATGGAGAATGTGGGTATTTTTTTTAACATTTTAGTATACTTGATAAGGCATAAGGTACCCCAGGATAGGATAAGCCTGCCAAGTTCTTCATAGGCCTCACAATTCATGTCAGTCACATGGAATGGGTGTCTTTCAAAGCCTCTGAGTTACTGTGATTTTGCGGCCTTTTAATACATTCAATGCATTCTGCCCAGTGTCTCTAAGACCAGGAGCAGCTTTTGACTCCTGACAAGCAATTTGAACTAATCCTGAAGGCCCTCTCCAGGGATTTTCTACATCTGGAGACTTCTCTCAAGACTTTGGTAACTTGCTCTTCCTTTCACCAAAGCATTAGTCACAGGAAAAATAGAACTAATGACTTTCATAATACTGAATTCATATCACGTGCTAGATACCTGCAGGTACAGGACATAGTTGCATTCAAAAAAGGACACACATGCCTGTTTTGTGGGATGTCATATGGGTCTCAAAGACTTCATCTCAAGCCCAACATAGGTGGTGTGTAAATGTGCTCTTGCTCATTTAGTCAGAAGTTAGGTCACCAATGCACTCACCTTTCTAAACTGAACAAAACGCCAGTACTCAAAAATCTTATCAATAAGTTCTTTGAAAATCAGTGCTTCCAACAGGGACATATGAAACAGTTTGTGCCCTTGCAGGAATTCCTTCATGAATTGCATGCTTTAATTGGTAAACATGTGACGAAGAAACGACCCTTCTCCCAAGGGCACGGATGACTGAGAGACGGAGGATGGACAAATTTATTAGTGCAGATCACATTTTTTGCATCTTTCTTTTCTAGGATGGGTAAAAAGATAAAGAAGGAAGTCGAACCTCCCCCTAAGGATGTGGTAAGTTTCTGGTGCAAATGCCAGCAAGAGTTTAACCACCAGTTTTAAAAATAAATTGTTCCGACAGTTTGGCATGTCCCACGGTATACATGAATGCATGGTGGCAGAAGTCCAAAGTCTGACTAATGATAATATTAGTCAGAGAAACCTAACAGAATATAAACAAACATTTACAACGTTGTCATTATATAATTAGCACAATTAAACAGCGATTACTAGCTTTTCTAGTATGTAGATAGCATGTTTGCAGTCTAGTTAATGGATAAATAGTTTCATTGTGTTCTTTTAAGCACTTCAACTTTATGTTCACTAGCCTCTCATTAACATGAATTATCCAAGGGAATTTTTAAAAATAAGGAGAAGTGCTTACATACTTCTGTATGGCATCTGCTGATGGTCTTGGACATGAGATGTCCCATTTTTTTCCAGTTAGAAAGTAGTCTGGGATCATTGGCTCCTTCTCTTCTACATGTTAAGCATCAACATGGCCCCTTCAGAGAGCCCTTTTCACTCCTAAATGTATGGTTTATCTGCTTACTTTAATCAGTTACTGAAAGACGATGTTGCAGTGGAAACCACCTTTGATGACACTGACTTTGGAGTCTTTTTTCAAAACGTGTTTGATGTGTGTGTCACCAGACAGTACAAATAGCAATGAGGGTTTCCCAAGCTTGCAAAAACTGGCAAGTACCGCAAGAAAGCTGCCCTCCAAGTTAGAGCATTACAGTCAAGACTGGAAGCTTTCTCTCGGCATGGCTCCTTATAAACTGTATTAATCACTTTGACCAAGTTGCCAAATTTGGCCAAACTATTTCAGTTTTCTTCATCTTTGAAATGGGAATTGTGTTCTCCATCTCATTTGGATTGCTATATTATTAATCCAAAGTAAATTATATGACGTTCTCAGTGGTTGGCATGTAGTGCAGCAAATAATATTTGTTATCGTAGGAATCCTCAGGACTCTGCTCTGTCTCTGTCTCTCTCTGTCTCTGTCTCTGTCTCTCTGTCTCTGTCTCTGTCTCTTTATGTCTCTCTCTGTCTCTCTCTGTCTCTCTCTCTCTCTCTCTCTCTCTCTCTCTCTCTCTCTCTCTCACACACACACACACACACACACACACACACACACACACACTGATGACCACCAAGGTATATGATACTTTCTAATAGAGTTATGATGAAGCTAATCTACCACCCTCTTACACCCAGTTGTGCATTGGGTACATTTTCAGACCTCTCTATGTTACAGGGAGGATGTGACAATACCCACCTCAGAGGCATACCCACTCCCAATAATGAGCACTAGACAGCATCAAGTGCTTAGAGTAGTGTCAAGCACTAGCCTCCACTCCAAGTGCCCCAGAACTACATGGGAGCCAGGTGCAGTGGTGTGTGCTTGCCACATCAGGACTCCAGAGGCTGAGGAAGGAGGATCAGTGCTTTAAGGCCAACCTGGACTAGACAGTGAGACCCTGTCTCAAAAAGAAAGGACGAAAGCACAGCAAACAGGTGTGCCCTGTGAGCACCATATCGGAAGGGCGAAATGAGGAACATCTCTGTCTCAGAAGCTCTGTTGGACAGCGGTTTCTCATGGCTGCATTTCCTTAACTGAGCTGGGAGACTATGGTTTCTCATGGGTGCACTTCCTTAAAGGTGCTGTGAGACCATCTCTGTACTCCTCTGGCCTCTCAGCAGACTGGCCTTAAAAAGCAGAGCTCAGCCAGGTGCTTCTTCCTACTTTCATTCTTTCTGCAGTAATTTTGGCTCACCGTTCATTTTACACAGAGTGTGACATTGTAATTTCACAACAAGCTTGCTGGTGACTGACTACCTCGTGGGGAAGCAGATGGCCTATGTGATTACAGCTCAGGATTATTTATTTAGTCGAGTGGCATTCTGTTACAGCCGTCATTTCATTCTCAGCACCTTTTTAAATAAAAAATTACTATAATGCTGTGGGCCCTGCAGGAGAAACAAATACCACGCCAAGCGCCTCCGCTCTCTGCCAAGCACTGGCATTTCTACCGCAGACCTGCTCTTTAGCATGCAGCTCTTACGGCCTCCGTCTTCCTTTATGCTTCCCATAATCTATATTGCCTTGTTCCTAATGATGGCTGGAAGGCACAGTAACACATCAGAGTGTTGACGAAATCTCTCCAGGAGAGATTAAACGGTGCTTATTTATCACTCATGCTTCAATGGATTTTTATGTACTCTACCTCCTTGAAGATTGTAGTTCTCATAGCATGCTCGCCTGCAATCACTGAAAAGTTAGTCATGTGCTCATAAAACAAGCTTTAAAATATTCAACAATTAATTGAAATTTAGTGCTCTATGGTATGACTGTAGTCTTGGCTACTCTGGAGGCTAAGGCAGACAGGTTGCTTGAGTTTGGGAGTTCAAGGCCAATCTGGGCAGCAAAGGGGAAGCTAATGTCAAAAAAACAAAAGAAAAAGAAAAGAAAAGAAAGGAAGGAAAGAAGAAAGAAAGAAAGAAACATGAGTACCTGAATTCAGATCCTCAGAACCTGTAAAGGAGTTAGACATGGTGACTCTTGTCTATAACTCCAGTACTGGGTCGGGGACACGAGAGGAGGGGGACAGATAGATCCTGAAGCTCAGTGGCTAGTCAGTCTAGTACAAGGTAAGAGACCCTGTTTCCCAAAAAAGGAACAAAAAGGTGAAGACTGATTGATAAAAGACACATATGTCACACCCTGGTCTCCAGATGCACTCACACTAACATGTACACACCACACATCTCCAGATACACTCACACTTACAAGGACACACCACATATACAGAGAGATGGGGGAGGAAGAGAGAGGGAGGAGGAGAGGAGAGAGAGAAGAAAAGAGGACGAGTTATATTAGAAGATTAAAGATCTGAAGTGGGGGTTAAGTCTGTCCCAAGTGTGGGCTGGTGGGAAGAACAGGCAGCGGGAATGTTGGGGAACTGTTTGGCGTCTAGGATGTCTAGAGCTGTGACAGACAGTCAGGGAGCCTTGGGAAGGTGGGACAGAAACTCTGGACACTTCTGCCTGTGATTTCAGTAACAGAATGCACCTTTTGAAGCCAGCTGATGGTTTAGGTCTCCTGATATCAAAAGACAGTACCCTGATAAGCCAACTTAACTCCACAAACTGAACTCAGGAGGCCCAACAGGACACGGAGGCCCATAGCTTCAACTGTTATTAAGGAAAGAAATGAAATGATCTAGAAATGGTCAGTGTCAGGTGACGTGGTGGCCACTGGTGGGAGCCTTAGAAGTGGTCTCTTCGGAGTCTGATGAAAGTTCAGTTCAGCTGGGATATGTGCAGCCAGTAGAAAATGGAGAAAAGTCACATTTCATTATGTTTTTGACCATGGAAGGGAAGGAAGGGCACAGGGTGAGTAGTATCTAAAGAAAAATTGGTTTTTGTTTCAAAATAAGAGAGATTTGTTTAGAAAGTTTTGCCTGGAGTCTATAGCACAGAGAACCAACCAGGAAGGGCCAACAGCAGAGAAGTCTGGTTAATGGTCCCTGGAGATGTGAAGGTCTAAGCTGTCTAGGTGGAACTAGACATGAAAAATAACATGCATGAGCTACTAAAAAGCTATGAACCGAATGGTTTTTAGAGCTCGCATGAATCTGGGGATCAGATTTTTGATAAGAGAGTCTGACTGAATTTCTAGAGCATTGTTAGGTAGAGTCTCCAGAAGTGCCAGACCTTTACAGTATGGCCAGCCTTGCCGTATGGTAAAGGCTTTGCTGGATTTGCACAGCAAGGTTTAAAAATGAGCTTGAAGTAGACAGCGTTGACCCAGGTGTAGGATAAGTTCGCCATAGCAACATCCAATATCCTTTGAGTTCCTTTCATCCCCATTACCAAGGAAAAAGATCTATACACTCAGCTACACAGTTTTCACAATATTGGGTAGCCAATAAAAATAATTAAGGATGGAAAAAAAGGAAAATGTGAATCATACCAGGAAAACAATCAATAAACCATTAGAGGAAATAAAATAGGAAGCTAAAAATATATTCAGTTACCAAAAAAAGAAGACAGGAAAAAGAACAGATTAGAGAAAGTGGAGACAGATAACAAGATAGTTAATAGAACTCAACCATATCAATAATAATACTCTCTCTCTCTCTCTCTCTCTCTCTCTCTCTCTCTATATATATATATATATATATATATATATATATATATATGTATTTTTAAGATGAGAAATTGTCAAATTTGATGAAAAGACAACACTCAAGTAACCTTTAAGGGGAGCTCAGCAGAAGAGAAAAAAAAGAAACCTTTAAGGATACATGGATACAAGGATACATGGGTTAAGAGTGAAAACAAAGACATGCATACCATGCAAACACTAATCACAAGAAAGTGCCTGCATATCGAACAAAATATAATTGCAGAACAAACACTTTTATCAAATAAAAAGGTGGACATTTCATAGTGATAATTTTTTTAAGAAGAATATGTTCTTAACACAAATTTTAAGGAAATTTAAGAAAAGGGACTATTCCATCACACAAAGATAAAATATGTAAATACAATACTTCTACCAAAAGTCAATATCCATAACCTAGAAACCATTGCAGAGACAAAGAAGGCCCAATGAAGCAGACACACTGTGCTGGATACAGGGACATTGATGGTGGGATTGCAAAATGGTAGAACTACTTGGGGGAAACATGGCGTTTTCTTGTGACATTAACTATACATTTGCTATCAAGCCAGAAGTGTGTGTGTGTGTGTGTGTGTGTGTGTGTGTGTGTGTGTGTGTGCGTGTGTGTGTTCAGATGCATTTGCATGTTTGTTCATGTATTTGGAGGCTAGAGGTCAACATCAGATATTTTATCCAACCATTTTTCACCCTTGGTTTTTTGAGATAGGTCTGTCAATGAACCCAGAGTGCATTGATTTGGCTAAAAAGTCCTCCTGTGTGCCTCCCCAGCACTGGGATCACAGACCGTCACTACTGCACTCATCTTTTTTACATGGGTGTTTAGACACAGAAACCCTTTAGCAATGTTGAGACACTACTGTCCTACAATATGGCAGAAGGCATTTGCAGATAAAGGTGTATGCCACCAAGCCTGATGACCTGAGTTCAGTCCCCAGGATCCACATGGTAGAAGGAGAGAGCCTACCCCTCTGAGTTGTTCTTTGACCTTCCATGTATTTGCACACACACGTGTACACACACACACACACACACACACACACACACACACACACACAGAGAGAGAGAGAGAGAGAGAGAGAGAGAGAGAGAGAGAGAGAGAGAGAGAGAGAGAGAGAAACTAAGAATGTAATATTTTTTCAAAACTCCAACAGGCTTTTCTTCTCTGTATGATTTTTTTCCCATTCCAGATACATCCTTTTAAGTTGCCTCCATCATCCATCTCCCTTTCCTTTTTAGTTTCCCAGTTTCACACAATGACGTCACCTCATATTCCCAAACATACTGCGATGTTCAGATAGGAAGAGTCATCCCAAAGAACCCAGTAACACTTGGGAATCCATCTGCCTGCATCATCCACAGAACTGCCTGCATCATCCACAGAACTGCCTGCATCATCCACAGAACTGCCTGCATCATCCACAGAACTGCCTGCATCATCCACAGAACTGCCTGCATCATCCACAGAACTGCCTGCATCATCCACAGAACTCCTCCTCCCTCTGCCTGCATCATCCACAGAACTCCTCCTCCCTCCATTTGTCTCTGGAGACGGAAGGAAACAGTGTCATGATTCACTGCTCCCTGTCCACAGAAAGCACCGGTGCTATAAGTTTGGTCTTGCTTGGTTTTGCTACACAAGAATTGCCCAGACTCAGCATGACACAAATCTCAGAGTCCTACAGATTTCCTCTGTGCTGCTGTGCTCCCATTACCCCTTTCCAGAACTTACTCAAGGTTGTATCCCATTATGTACATTTGCCCCTTTTTTTCATCCTCGTTCTTGTGTCACATATGTTATTCCTGCTTTTCCACTAGGAGTCTGGTAGGTGGAATGGACACATTGACTGTTGAGACAGGGCACCAGATGTACTCAAGGATTCTTGTGTGAGGGCTTAGAATAATAGTAATACATATTTATTTTAGTGAGCATATGTGTGATGTGCCGGACAATGGGCTAAGTGCTTCATCATAACCTCCCTAGCCCTCCCTTGGTTACTCCAGACATGTGCTTTTATCCCTAGAACACAGAAGAAGGAAGCAGCATTCTAGAAGCTTCAGCAACTTGTCTGAGTCAAGCTGAGAATCCGCATCTGTAACTCTCTCTCCCCTTCCCACGGCTCTCTGGGAATCAGAGGGCTGCCAGTGGTCTTTAAGACTTTTTCTTTCATTTTATTCTATGTGTATAGGTGTTTCACTTGCACGTGTGTCTGTACACCACATACATGTGGTGCCCACAGAGGCCAGAAGAAAACATCAGACCCCCTGGAAACTGGAATTACAGAGGTTGTGAGCCACCATGTGGGTGCTGGGAATTGAACCTGGGTCCTCTGGAAGAGCAGCCAGTACTCTTAACCACTGAGCTATCTCTTCAGCTCCAGGGATTTCTTCCTGAAAGAGGAACTTTCCAGTTCACCTACTGGGCCATGACCACATCCTTTTGCAGGATTGTGGCCTCTTTCAATTTTAAGCCACTGTTCCTTTTTATGTGACATTTAGGAATTACGAATGAACCCAATTACTCTTCGTTTTGCTTTTCAGTTCGACCCACTCACAATTGAAAGCAAAAAAGCAGCCACCGTGGTGCTAATGCTCAACTCTCCAGAGGAGGAGATTTTAGCCAAAGCTTGCGAAGCCATTTATAAATTTGCTTTGAAAGGTTTGGATCTTTTCAGTTTATCTTCCTATCTCATTCCTGTTTACTACATACCAGGCATTTCTTCACTAGTCTGTAGCTTACTTCCCGTGTGAATGACATCAGTGCCCACTTGAAGGCAGTGTGCCTCCCTGGTGCTTTACTCGGGTTCCAAGGGTCGGTCACAGCACAGAACAGTCATCTAGACCAGGAGTCGGGCACAGTGGCACATGCTTGTCATCTCGGGATTTGGGAGGTGGAGGCAGGAGGGTTGTAGATGGAAAGCGAGCCTGGGTACATAGTAATACCCTTGTCTTTCCCATCTCTTATTCACTCGCTTGGTCACTCACTCATTTATTTAATCAACCAATAAGAATAAATGCCACAGGAGCAAAAAGAGCCACCGTTTGAGCAGTAAGATAAACTTGCATTGGATCATAACCTGAAGTATAAAATAAATATCCCTGTGTACAAACAGTAGTGATAAGAAGAGTTAATGTCAAGGCCGCCACCACCCCCATCTCCATGCTCCCTTCCATACAGTAGCCTTTCACCCCCAGTATGCCCCATTTCCACTCTGTTCTGTTGTCTCCCATCCCCCTCCCTTCAACCTCCATTTGTGCAGTCTCAATGGCCCTTTTCTGGTTTCCTTGTCTTTACTCACAGTTCCTCCCCCTTGGATGTGCATTTTTAACAGTTAGAAGCTACAATCCATGGAGGAGAGAGAGAGCATCTGAGCCTGGCTTACCTCACTTAAGGTTTCCTGGTTCTGTCCATTTTCATGTTAATTTTATAGTTTCATCTTCCTTTACAGGTGAATAAAATTCCGTTAAAATAAAATTTAACAACAGGGAGAGACTGTTTTATTGAATTAAAAAGCAAAAGCAAATTACATGCTGCCTTCAAGAAAGACACTTAGAATGTAAAGGCTCAAATAAAAGATGAAAAGAGATATCTCATGAAAAGACTAATCAAAATAAACCTGGAGTGGTTATAATAATATAAGAAAAGTAAACAGTAAAAGGAGCCAGAGGTCATTTCATTATGATAAAGAGGTCAAATAATCAAAGGGCTAAAGAAAATCTTCTCTAGCTATGGACCTAAAATAGGACCTTCCGAACGAATAACGCTGGTACTGTGGGGAGGGATGAGCATTCACACAGACACTCCCCAGAGAGAGGATTCAAAACCCTTTTCTCAATAAATGAAAGAATAAATAGACTGCAAGTCTAAGAATATGGAAGATTTGACCATCAATACTGATGAATTTAACCTAGTATTGACAGAGCTTAAGAACTGTGGAGTGAACATTATTTCTCAAGAGTATATTCGAGAATACTTATCTCAGTACACTGCATTGTGGGGCATAAAACAGGACGAAGCAAGCTTTAAGGGACTCTAAGCTATTCAAAATGTATCTCCATACCACAGAGGAATCACGTCAGAAATCAATAATACCAGATATTCTGGGTCATCATTCAATACTCAGAAAGTGAGCAGCATACTCCTGTGTAACTCATGAGTGAAAGAAAATGGGCGATAAAAGTGAGAATTGAAGTAATCTATAAAAATGTAGAGAGTGCTGTTAAATGGGTGTTTAGATAAAAATGTATTGTACCATGTTAGGGTCAGAGGGGGCTCGGTGAGCAAAAGTGCTGCCCTGAGTTTGGATCCCTCGTGTAGAAGCCATCCCTCAGGTAGGGGCCAGCTGTTCTTTGACTTCTATCCATGTGCGTGCCCTAACATGCTAAATACACACTCACATGCCCAAAGGTCAATTTTTAGAAGTTTCAAACAAATAGTTGCATTTCTTCTTGAAGAAAGAGCAATGGTAAAGGAGAAATTAAACTCAAAGTCATATAAATAAATGTAATAAATATAATGGGTATCTGAAAAGAAATTGATGGAACAGAAAACAATAATAAAAAGTGAACAGAAACTGTGAGCTGGCCAAAAAAAAAAAAAATGAGGCAATCTTCAGCTCAGTATGTCTCTTGAACATGGATGAGGAATTTGTAAAGAAAACACTAGCAAATTAGATCCAACAACTGAGTTTCATGTGAAGAGCCCAAGATTTGTTTAACTTGAAAGATTAGTCAAGGTATTCTATCCTATGTGAAGGGCAGAGAGAGAAGTGCATGTCCAGGGTGCTGGAACCCCAGATTTGTTCTGGGCTAACACTAGGCGGACCTCCAAGGAGACAGAAGGCATTCATGCATGGTCTTGTTTTACCTGTGGTGTCTGTCAGGTGAGGAGAATAAAGCAACTCTCCTTGAACTTGGAGCTGTGGAGCCCTTGACCAAACTGCTTACCCATGAAGACAAAATTGTAAGAAGAAATGCTACGATGATCTTTGGCATCCTGGCTTCCAACAGTAAGTAACAATGTTTGGAAAGGAACAAATTCTCCTTCTTTCAAAGTTAACTTTAAGAGATTAGCCTGAATTTTATTTAAGCCAACTTTAACAGCAGAAGAAAAAAAAGCAGTACAGTGTAACAAATGATTTCATAGTTTTAAAAGATGTGTTTAATGTGTATGTATCTGCATGTGAGTACAAATGCCCATAGAGGGCAGAAGAGGGCATTGGATCTCCTAGAACTGGAATTACAGGTAGTTGTGACCTGTCCAGTGTGGGTGCTGGGAACCAAACTTAGGTTCTCTGGAAGAGCAGCAAAGGCTCTTGAGCACTGAACCATTTATGCAGCCCAGATTTCCTATTTTAATAGATATGGACATAAAAATATAAAAATACATAAAAGTCTCACCTCAAAGTTAGTGATGCTATTTTGTCTAACAGGTTAGGAAAGAAATTATCTCTTAAGATGGTTCTCTCCCCCAACTCGAGTTAGTATAGTGTGATTTTCCTGCACACATGTCAGTTATATTTCATATAAATTCCCTAGTATATGAAGCCCACAGCGGATTTGGATAAATTCACTTTTAAAAACTGCTAACTATTGCTTGTATAAAAACTTTAGTTGTATATATTGAATTCACATTGATTAAGTTGAATACTCCTGAATCAGATCTATGATTTGGTTCAAATATTTTCGTTTATTTAGGAGTGTGGTACTATAGTATTAGCTAAAACATGCTCTTCTGGCTTTCAAAACAGAAGTTTGGCAGATCCGTGCCAACAACAGTAGTCTCTGCTTGTGCACAAGATGTCTTTGCCCAGGCATAAGTCACTTCTCTGTGTTTTAGGGTAGCTTTTGAGTCACAAATTTTGTAACTTACAAAGTTTCAAAAAGTATTTTGAGCCAATATCTTTGTAACTACAAAAAAGATTCAATGATACTCTTAATAGAGAATGAATTCAACCATGGAACAAGGGTAGCAGAAATAAACCCAAGTCTCCCAGTTACAGTATGTGGCTAAGGTCATCATTCTGTCCCTTACCATGACCTCTACAGGGTACATCATGGTTCTTATCTTTCTGTCTCCAGTTGGCAGTTTTTCTAGACAACATGTGATATGCACAGATATTTACATTTTCAATGACTTTTTCTGTTTGTTTTTGTTCTTAATTTCTATTATTTCTCTCACTTCTTCATTCATTCATCTATCATCTAATACATAAGGTATTTATTTCTTGAGAAACTGCAAATTGTCAGTGAAAACTCTCAGCTCAGGATACATATAAATTGCATTTTATGGGTTTCTAGGGGATTTTGTGACCTTAATTACTAAGAATTAGGGACTGGAGAGATGGTTCAGCAGTAAAGAGTGCATCCTGCTCTTACAGAGGACTGGAGTTTGGTTCCCAGCACCCATACTAGATGGTTCATGGTTGCCTGTAACTTCAGATTAAGGGGGAATCCATGTCCTCTGGTGCCCTCTTGCGTCTGCACCCACATACACATACCCGCACACATATCCACATGATTAAATTTTTTAAAATTTTAAAGAAATATTTTCACATGTGGGTGTTAAGTGAGGGGTTCTCTGGGAGCTCCCAGGCCCCAAACCCACCCTATCAGCTGGTTTTGGTCAGTACCTGCTCATCCAGTGGGGACAGCGCTGCTGCCCTCAGGGTCCCAGTAAGTACCTGGTTCTCTTGTCTGAAGAATGATGACAGGTCGTGAACACATGTCTGGTGTGATGAACAATTATGGTATAATGAAAGGCTTTCTTTTGATTCCATTCGATGAAAAAATTATTTGAATTGATTGATTTGTATTTGATGATGTGGCTAACACGTGGCATTCCGAGCTGCTTGGCAAGGTCTCCTTTTCTTGGAAGAATCAACATGTTCACAGCTATAGGTTCACTTGTCATGCATGTCCTAGAAAACCTGGATAAAAGTTGAGCAAGTAGCCATTGGATCCTAAGGAGAGTCATGCCTCCAGGCTGATCTGTGAATGAATGCACCTCCACACTGCTCAGTTACAGCATTGTTGACGTGTCTAACAACAACAACAACGGATGCCTCTTAGAAACATGTGCCTTCCTGTGGCTTCATACTCAGTGAACAACTGTGCTCATGGCAGATAAACTGATGTGTCAACAGGATGCTGGCACTAAAACTTCATGTGAGAGACAGTTCTCGTTTCACAATCTCCTCTACTTCTTCCTTTTCTGTTTTTCTTCCCCCTCTCCCTCCCCCTTCTCCTTCCTCTCCTCTTCTTTTTCCTCTTCCTCCTTTTCCACTTTCTCTTCCTCCTCCTTCCCTTCTGCTTACTCCTCCCCCTTCTCTTTCATATCCTTCTCTCCCCATTTTCTTCCTCCCCTTCCTCTCCTTCCTCTCCTTTTTCCCTCTTCCTCCTCTTCTGGAAGTTACTGAGCTATGTGTCTGTGCCAAGCTGCAGTGATTAAAAAAGACACTGAAATTACCTTACTGGACCTTCTATTTTGGCCAAAACCCAAGTGCCACTGTTTTCTTTCTTTTGTCAGTTTGTGTTTAATTCATTCAGAGCACACAACAGATGCAGTGATAGTAGTCAGCTACAGATGCAGTGGTGGTAGTCAGCTACAGATGCAGTGGTGGTAGTCAGCCACAGATGCAGTGGTGGTAGTCAGCTACAGATACAGTGGTGGTAGTCAGCTACAGATGCAGTGGTTGTAGTCAGCTACAGATGCAGTGGTGGTAGTCAGCCACAGATGCAGTGGTGGTAGTCAGCTACAGATGCAGTGGTGGTAGTCAGCCACAGATAAAGAGGTTTCAGTCAGCCACAGAAACAGTGGTTGTAGTCAGCCACAGAAGCAGTGGTTGCAGTCAGCTACAGATGCAGTGGTGGTAGTCAGCTACAGATGCAGTGGTGGTAGTCAGCTACAGATGTGGTGGTAGTCAGCCACAGATGCAGTGGTGGTAGTCAGCCACAGATGCAGTGGTACTGGTCAGCCACAGATGCAGTGGTGGTAGTCAGCCACAGATGCAGTGGTGGTAGTCAGCCACAGATGCAGTGGTTGTAGTCAGCCACAGATGCAGTGGTTGTAGTCAGCCACAGATGTAGCGGTTGCAGTCAGCTACAGATGCAGTGGTGGTAGTCAGCTACAGATGAAGTGGTGGTAGTCAGCCACAGATGCAGTGGTGGTAGTCAGCCACAGATGCAGTGGTGGTAGTCAGCCACAGATGAAGTGGTGGTAGTCAGCCACAGATGCAGTGGTGGTAGTCAGTCATAGATGCAGTGGTGGTAGTCAGCCACAGATGCAGTGGTGGTAGTCAGCCACAGATGCAGTGGTGGTAGTCAGCCACAGATGCAGTGGTGCTGGTCAGTCACAGATGCAGTGGTGGTAGTCAGCCACAGATGCAGTGGTGGTAGTCACCTACAGAAGCAGTGGTTGTAGTCAGCCACAGATGCAGTGGTTGTAGTCAGCCACAGATGCAGTGGTTGCAGTCAGCTACAGATGCAGTGGTATAGTCAGCTACAGATGCAGTGGTGGTAGTCAGCCACAGATGCAGTGGTGGTAGTCAGCCACAGATGCAGTGGTGGTAGTCAGCCACAGAAGCAGTGGTTGTAGTCAGCCACAGAAGCAGTGGTTGTAGTCAGCCACAGATGCAGTGGTTGCAGTCAGCTACAGATGCAGTGGTGGTAGTCAGCCACAGATGCAGTGACTGCAGTCAGCTACAGATGCAGTGGTGGTAGTCAGCCACAGATGCAGTGACTGCAGTCAGCTACAGATGCAGTGGTGGTAGTCACCTACAGAGAGTTCATCAGAATCCCAAAGCCACCAGAGAAAGATGGTTCTATAAACTGGTAGATGGTCAAGAATGAATTAGATGGTAAAATCAAGATACAGTGTTAGGGACAGTAATCAAGCCTGATATAGTGGTACCCACCTGTAATGTCAGTATGGGGAGGCTGAGGCAGAGAAATTGCAGTGAGTTTGGCCTGGCCACCATAATGAATTTTAGCTCTGCTGGGACTACATAGTGAGGTTCTGTCTAAAAAGTAAATGCAATCGAAACAGATCTGATGAAGTTAGAGCAGGCATTAAAGTTACTGGCAGATCTGCCTTGACCAGAAATTATGGGTGGCACCCTGCTCAGCCAGATGCTGTTCACCTGGCCCCAGCACAGGTCAGAATTTCCATCCAGTTGCCCTAGCTGAGGAACTTCACTGTTGAAAAAGAAGGAGCCGAGACTAATATTGTGTTTACAGTGCTTGAAAGAGCACCTTGCCTGGTATTTTTTTGCTGATTTAACATCAAGAAAAAATATTAGATTCTTTGAACCATCTAGTGTCAAAAGCAGAATAAGTCCGTCAGCTGGGTCACCGATTCACAGAGCTGCAGTGAACTAGAATTACCCATCAAGCAGGGAGGATGGCTCAGCAGACGGCGTGGACCGCCGGGGTGGTTCTTGTGCATCTCTGGTCATTTGATCTAAATTTCACAGCATGGGACTCTCTGACGGACACTTTTAGCTTGTTTTGGCAAAGCAAGGTGAGATGTCCACTTGAGGCCACAAGGGTCGTACAGCTATGGGCTTTCCATGTGACTGCCAATCACATAGAAAGGCAGTAATTGAGAGCCCCCAGGCACCAACATGGTCTGCCTTAAGGTCAGGGACACATCAAGAAATTTTGAAGTGTGGGGATGTCTTATATGTATGGGGAAAGTGTTTGGAGATCTAAAATTCCAGAAATAGTAGCGGGTTTTTTTTCAAGCATCTAAAAATAAGGGTTTTTGCTACCGTTGTCACAAAAATTATTCTCAACCATGCCGACTGGCATCAGGAGAACAGTACTTGCTGCGACAGAGTGCATGAAGTTTGGTTCCCAGAACCTTGCAAGGATCTAAGTATTATGCTAAGGCTGTTACCTGTCAATTAGTGGAGAAAATGTCTTTTAAAACCTGGTGTTGGACCATAAATGTCATCCCCTACTGTGTCCAGCACAGCTTGGGCTGGACACCTGACTGAGTTGAGACAGGAAGGAAGAAATGACAGACAGACATACGGAAAGACTGGGCTCAGGGGCGTTGTACTCACTGTGATGGAGGGCAGCAAGTTCTACCCAAAGAACCCAGAACCTCAGTGAGTTTATTATGTACAGCACAGAGAAGAGGGCTTAGCCAGTTTCAGAAGAAGGGCTTTGTAGGGAACAGTCTCTAAGAAACTGTAGCCAACATTTTCTGTAAACTCTGTCAACATTCACACATGGGCCGGAGGAAGGCTTTGCCATTTCCCTGCGCCTGACCTAGAAAAGGCTTTGTCAATCCCCTGAGCCTGACCCAGGAGTGGCTTTGTCAGTTCCCCTGGGGTCCTGAGACATTGGGGTCCTTCTCAACAACACACATTCATTCAGGGCTACCTCTGCTTCCCACGACACAGCATCATGGGACATTACAGGTCCTGGAACCTACAAAAACTACTGTCTATTTGCTCCACCTTCAGCCACTTGCAAAAGAAACAGAGAAATCAGAAGTTTTGAACATTGAAGAAAAGTCACAGCTCTGAATTCCTCAGGAAAGGGTGTTCAGTGAATGCCAAAGCTATTCAGCAATTAAGAAGGACAAATTCATCCTAGACAGTTCTCTTCAGTGACCTTTTCTCCAGTTCTAGTGGGGTTAATCTTTCCTTACAGGTAAAGAAAATGAACCAGAAGCTCCAAAACTAAAGAAATAGGTATCTTTTTTCCTCAAAAAACAAAAAACAAAAAAACAAACTGGAGTTCAGTCAGCAAGAAGTAGGGGCGTACTTGGCTAGCCTTAGCTTAACAGAACGCACAGACAAGTGAACTTCAAAACCCAGTGCATTTCTCTCTAAGCACTTTCGGTCAACACTAAAAAGGATAACAGCCGCAGTGCCAGACCCAGAACACATCAGAAAAGTTGACTTACAGTGTCCTGTACATGTTTATTATATTAAATTTTTGTTTTGAAATTCTTATACATAAGGCTAGATGGTGTCCGAGCAGAGTCAACTGACCTGAGCATGCATCCTGCTACTTCCTTGTTGCTGCTTAGATCTCAATATCCTTACCCACAAAATTATACAAGCACCTAACTCCAGAGCAAATGCTTAGCAGAAATCACCATTATTATTTTAACAAACATCCATATTTTGTTTCTTCCTTTGTAGGTGATGTTAAAAAGTTGTTGAGGGAGTTAGAGGTCATGAATTCTGTTATTGCTCAGCTTGCTCCGGAAGGTAACTTTGCATCCTACATTTATTTCCTAAATGGGACTGAGTTCTTTTTACATTTTATTAAACTGCATGTTGTAAAGAACTTATGAGCCACCCACTGTGAGTTGCCATTATAATCTTGCAAGCCACGGCTCAATTCTAACTTTTCAGGAAGTTTGGTGTGAGCAAGATTTGTGGAGCTTCAGATTCCAAAGTCTCTGTGTGTTTGTGGTGTGTGTATGTATGTATGTGTGTGTGTGTGTGTGTGTGTGTGTGTGTGTGTGTGTATGTGTGTGTGTGTGTGTGTGTGTGTGTGTGTGTTACTAAAATTGAGTCCAGGGTTTTGCATATGTTCAGAGAGTATACCACCACGTCAATATATTCCACAACCCTGGAACTCCAGACCCTCCTGCCCCAGCCTGCCAAGTAGCTAGGATCACAAGTGTGTGTCATCATCACACCCCTCCTCAGAGCCTATTGTAAAGTAGAGCTTCGGTAAATAGCTCACACATTGTCTTGTTTGTTTGTGATCTACAGAAGAAGTGATAATCCATGAATTTGCAAGTCTTTGCCTCGCAAACATGTCCATCGAGTACTCGGGGAAAGTACAGATATTTGAGCATGGTGGACTGGAGCCACTCATCAGACTGCTGAGTAGCCCAGACCCGGATGTGAAGAAGAATTCGATTGAATGCATCTACAACTTGGTACAGGTAAGGTTTGCTTTAAAACAGTGTTTTGGTGGCAGGGGATACAACTCAGAGCTAAAGTGCTTGCCTAACATGCAGGAAGCTCTGAGTTTTAACCTCAACACCATTAAAAATAATCTTTGGACAAAAGCCAATTGTGGGGGTTGGGCTAAAGAGATGGCTCAGAGGTTAAGAACACTTGCTGCTCTTCCGGTGGACTCAGGATCAGTTCCCAGCACCCACATAGTTGCTTATAACCATCTCTAACTTCAGTTCAGGGGGATCTGATACCCTCTTTTGGTCTCTGTGGGCACTATGTGCATATGCTACACAGACATGTAGGCTAAAACTAGCACAAGATAAGGTAATTAGACTCTGGACCAGCAATGTTCCAACCTGTGCATATCATTACTGAGAGAGCATCAGCCTTTGCAGACAGCTTCTTTCCAGAAATTCTCATTCATAAACACAAGCCACTGGGACAGTCCTGATGGGCTTGGAGGACCAGCTGGTCAATGACCAAAGCTTTGAACTGTTGATTAGTAAAAAAACCTGTCATCTGAGTCTGCTCAATGCAATTCATTATTCATGACAGCAAAATGCTATCTCATCAGGCTGTATAATATATATATATATATATAATATGTATATGTATAATATATATAATATGTGTATAATATATATAATATATGTATAATATATATATATACACTATATAATAGGAAATAACTGCCACTCCCCTCCTCACTGTGATGCTCCCTGTGCCCCGCTCTCACCCACAACAGTTCAGTTTGGAAAGACTTACCAGCCGTCTCTGCTGCTTTTCCTTCTCAGGTTTCTTAACAACCACCAAACATGCATGATAAGCTTTAGGTCAGCTGAAATCCTAAGACAGGCAAGAGGGGTAGGGTAGAGGGGTAATCGAGAGACAGTATCTAGGCACTGGGATGGAGAGAGACTCAGAAAACCTTCTTGGCCTCAGGTGCAACGTGACCACCTCATGCTCCTGAAACAGACATCCTCTGGAGGAAGTCCAGCCTCTTTCCGCTGTCCCTGATCCAATGGGCTTTCCCCCACCATCTCAGTTTATTTTCCTGTTGCTGGGATTAAACACCCTCACAAAAAGCAGCTTAAAGGAGAAAGAGTTGGTTCTGGTTCATAATTCAAGAGTGTGTAGTCCATCCTGGCAGGGAAGTTAAGATGGCGGGAGCTTGTAGCAGCTGGTCATGTGACATCCACAGTCCAGAAGCACAAAGCAGTGGATTCCCATGATCAGTTAACATCTTCCACTTCATATAGTCCAGGATCTGCTGCCCAGGGAATGGTCCCACAGACAAGATGGGTCTTTCCATATCAGCGAATAGAATCAAGATAATCTCAAAAGCTAGAGAACCTCTTAATCTAGAAAACCTCTCACAGGCTTGTCTCAGGATGATTTTGTATTATTCGTAGTTGTCACTCTCCATCCAACTCACTCAGCGACTTAAAACTTTCCATACATGGGTTTGTGGTTTTAATCTCAGGACTCCTCATGGGTGCATTTTTCTACTTTTTCTTTCAAGTGAAAATAAGATGTGTAACCTTTATAGTTCTTCATAACAGAAGCATTGGAGACTAAGACTATTAGGGCTGCTGTAGCTAAATACCACAAGCTGGGTGGTTCAGAGTTACCGTGTTAATATGACATCCTCCAGAGACTGGGCAGAACCATTCCTCAATTGCCCAGCTTTTGCTAGCAGACAACACTCTAGTCTCTGCCTTTGTCATCTCCATTCTCATGAGGATATCAGTTTTACCTTAGAAGGACACTGTTAAGGACTATACTCCAGGCTGACCCTGTCTTGCCTAATTACATCAGCAGTGACTCTCTTTCCAAAGGTGGTCACATTCTGAGTCCCTGGGGACATGATTTTAAAGGCCACCTGTAACTTTTATGCCTGAAAAAAGCTGAACAATTAGAGGTTAAGTAAAAGATGAAGGAAGGAAGGCTATGCTGAATGTGGGAGTTTTCCCAGTGTGTGTGTGTGTGTGTGTGTGTGTGTGTGTGTGTGTGTGTGTGTTGTACATACACATTTATGTTGGTGTGTGCACATCTGTGCATGTGAGTGTGTAGGCCAGAGATCAATGTCTAGTTTTCTTCAATTACCCTCTACCTTTTTTTTTGAGGCAGGGTCTCTCACTAACTAGAGCTCAATGATTAAGGTAGGGTGGCTGGCCACTGAGTTCCAGGAATCCACCTGCTATGTCTCCCTAGAGTTGGAATACAGGCACACTGCCACTCTGGTTTCTTTATGTGGGTTCTGGTGGCCTAGACTCATCTCCCCAGGCCAAGTGGCAAACACTCAATTGACTGAGTTACTTCCCCAGCCCTGCTTTGCACCTTCAGTGCTATTTTAATCACATTTAAGTTTGGTTTTTTTAAATCATGATTTAGTAATAAAGTTTGAGAGTTTTCTCCGCTATTCAATACAACACTCCTTGCCCTGCTGCTACTACTACCAGAACTGGTTCATCACATGCAGGAATGTAACTACACCAACTCCATGAGATCTTAAGGGTTTCACTTAAAGGTCAGGTATTTGAAAAAACCCTGCTATGAATTTGCACACACAGGGTTATCTACAGCAGTGGATGCATGCAGCTATTTCACAAACAACCCCTAAAAGATAAAGAATCCGTGCCATTATTTCATAAAATACTATTTGAAACAGTATATTCATGTGAAAAGAATTGTATTATGTATGCATTTTAATGTAATAATGTTTATAGAAGTTTGCAGCAACATAAATCCTGCAAGTGATAGATAGCATCAATAGACATTTTTTTACTGTCCTTTAAGAGGTTGTGTTTTTTTTTTTTGTTTTGTTTTGTTTTTTTGTTTTGTCTATAAGTTATTTTGGAATCTGGAGTTAAAAATGGAGAAATTATACCATAATAATGTTCTTTGCCAGAACATAGACACTCTCCATCCTTGAGATTGCATTTTGTTGTAGAAATTATTAATGCGCTCATTCGCATTTCACGGCAGGATTTTCAGTGTCGGACTACACTTCACGAACTAAACCCAATCCCGCCGATGTTAGAGCTCCTGAAGTCGGAGTACCCAATTATCCAGCAGCTGGCTCTCAAAACCTTGGGTGTTATCACATGCGATAAGGAGTCTCGGACAATGCTGAAAGACAACCAAGGACTGGACCAGCTCTCCAAGATCCTAGAAACCAAGGTATCGGCAGTATTCCCATCCATGCAGCTCTTTGAGATGTTGTCTTAAAGTCTGAATGTTTTTAATTGTAGTAGGCAGAGTTTACAGGAGTGATTCATTAACGGTTGTGAAAACTTTATTAGGCTGCTTGGAGCAGATTGGTTGTAGAGGCCATCAAGAACTAATAGAAAATCAGCCTTCTGGCTTTGAAAGTTTAAGATTTTTCTGAAACACCTAGAATTAACCTTTTAATCTCTCTGTCCATCATGATTGTTTGTGGGATGAGGCAAGAAGAACAATTTACCTTTAATACAATGAGAAACATTGGAGGTGAAGTTACACAGTTTCCACAGGTTCACAAGGAAGCTGTCTCCCACTTGAAGAGTTGATGTGTGCCTCACATCTTCCCGTCACCAACGCCGATCCAGCACTTGGCTGAAGACCGTTTAGCTGTATAGACACGGCTCAGATTTATGCTGAAAGAATCGCCAGCATTAATTCCAGAGCCAAGTACCTATATGTATATTTCAGATTCATGGCCTCCATTTCAGTGCATTATCAAATAAATTCTACTTTAGTGCCTCTTCGAAAATAAGGACAGAGGGACAATCTAGGAGGTTAAAGTCTCATTGAGTAATAATTTATTAAGTTTCAAACTAACCATTATTCATTTTTTATCCTAAAAAAAATATGGACCTTAGAGCTTGATACATAACTGAGAAAATAAAGTACAATGTTAAAAGCTGTCCTGGTACAACAAGCCTATTCCCCCACCACATCCATCTACCTCTGATTCCATGACACCCTGTGCACTAGTTCTGTGTCAGGATTTTACATTTGTGGTGTAGAACCCTAACAGTACCATAGGCTGTATAGTACTATTAGAACTACATAACTCTAACAGTACCGTAGGCTGTATAGTACTGTTAGAACTACATAACTCTAACAGTACCGTAGGCTGTATAGTACTGTTAGAACTACATAACTCTAACAGTACCGTAGGCTGTATAGTACTGTTAGAACTACATAACTCTAACAGTACCGTAGGCTGTATAGTACTGTTAGAACTACATAACTCTAACAGTACCGTAGGCTGTATAGTACTGTTAGAACTACATAACTCTAACAGTACCGTAGGCTGTATAGTACTGTTAGAACTACATAACTCTAACAGTACCGTAGGCTGTATAGTACTGTTAGAACTATGTAGAACTCTAACAGTACCATAGGCTGTATAGTACTGTTAGAACTACATAACTCTAACAGTACCGTAGGCTGTATAGTACTGTTAGAACTATGTAGAACTCTAACAGTACCATAGGCTGTATAGTACTGTTAGAACTACATAACTCTAACAGTACCGTAGGCTGTATAGTACTGTTACAGCTATGCAGAACTCCTAACAGTACTATTATTTTGTCCTGTCATTTCATCCTATTATTTCAAATGTACGGATATGTAAATCAGAGAGGTTACTTTTCCCAGTGAACCACAGGTAGGAATAGATTAATAACAGGATGAGTGTAGCTTTGTCTGATAGTGTCACAGTTCTGTCTCCTGTCTTCTTGGAATAAAAAAATAATGGCATGGAAAGATCTATTCCATCATAGGTGTGGTACAGGAATTTTGCATATGTGATTTTATTACCTTCTTATTTCTTTCAAAGTATGATAATCTATAAAACAACAATTACTATACCATTATATATGATACTATATATAATACATAATGTATCTATATATTACATATAAATATCTGTATATGTGTATACACTCTGTATAACATCATAGTTATCATACATAGCTATATAATTGTATATATCAACTATTACATATCATAAATAATTATTGCATCTTCCATCTCATTTTATAGATGAGAAAAATGAGGCTGACAGGTTAAATAACTTGTCTGTAGTCACAGAAAGTGCAAATAAGGGAAGTATTTTTCAGAGTTAATATGTGTATTTTATTTGGAAGTTTTTAAATTATACTAAAATATATAGAATAAAATATGATAGTCCCTCTCCCATCCCCACCTAGGCTGGGGCACAAAGCCCAGAGGATCATTCATTTATGTTCCCATGCACCCAAACTCCTTACCAGGGTAATGAGGCCAAGACAGAAGAAAGCTACAAAAAACTAACAGACTCGAAAGACAGAAAACCCAAAGAGAACAGGAAAGTCTACTTGTTAAGTAGATTTCTTAAGTTAGATGAAGAATAACTGTTAAGTAGATTTCTCAAGGTCACAGGGTAAAAGTCAATTCAGTAAAACTATGTTTCTCTGTGCTAGGAATGAGCCTTGGAGAAACAAAATATATATAATTCAAGTTACAATATTTTCTATGTGTATGCATGCTTACTTGTTTTGTGTGTCTTTGTATGTATGTATGTGATGTCTGAAGGCACACGTGTGTGGAGGTCAGAGGTCAACATCAGCTCTCTTCTTCAGCTGCTCTCCACCTTATTTTCTGAGATAGCATGTCTCACTGACCCTGGAGCTGGCCAATTCAGCTAGACTGGCAGGCCAGCAAGCCCCAGGGACCCTCCTGTCTCAGCACCCCCAGTGCTGGGATCACCAGCGTTCGGTGCTTGGGTCCACAGGCTTGCCTGGCAAGCACTTTACTGACTGAGTGATTTCCTTAGACCCCACCATATGTTCTTAATGCATGAACATCAAAGATTTCAACTCTTCATGGAAAAAAAATGCACAGCAGTGTTAAGGAAGACTTACGTAGAGCAGTCTACCAATTTGTCTGAGCTGCTCTTTCGACTTGGTCCCCACCCCTTGTTCCTCACTTCTGTCTTCTGGGTTTTTTTTTTTTTTTTTTTTTTTTTTTTTTTTTTTTTTTTTTTTTTTGGTTTTTCGAGACAGGGTTTCTCTGTGTAGCTTTGCGCCTTTCCTGGGACTCACTTGGTAGTCCAGGCTGGCCTCGAACTCACAGAGATCCGCCTGGCTCTGCCTCCCGAGTGCTGGGATTAAAGGCGTGAGCCACCACCGCCCGGCGTCTTCTGGGTTTTTTAAGAAAAGTCTCACTTATAATCCTGACTAGTCTGGAACTCCCTATGTAGACCAGGCTGGCCTCTAACTCAGAAATCCACATGCATCTGTCTCCTTAGAGACTATGCTGGTGTTAAATGAATGTGCTGTTGCACTGGGCTCTGTCTTCGTAATTTTTAAAGTTAAAATTAAATTGTACTCTTCAAAAAAAAAAAAGACAAAGTCATACATCCATCTAATACAAAACAACCATCCTGTGTCCATCAGAAAATTCACCATACTTACCCTAGAATGAGCACAAAGTCCATGAGTGACATTTATTCTTCTTAACTTTCAGACACTTAAATCTTACATTGTAAAGGTAATGAAAACCAAATCCTTAGTTACCATTGACCATTTCAAATTGTATGATAAGAAGACACGAGAGTGAAGAACGAAGTCATATATTTAGAATACACAAATGCGAACAGACACGTGGTCAATCAAGCATTGCTATCGAAGTGAAGAAGAAACACTGGGGCAATTACAGCTTTCATAGCTCTAACTAGTGCCATGGTCATGACTGACACCCATCACTACCTCCTTCACTGGTCTGGGTTCCTTTTGCCCTCAACAAAAGCCTCAATTGATCAGAGCTCTTAACTTGTAAGATGACTCATCTTAATTACCGAACACTAGAATGGATCAGGTCATTGTAAGTTTGTTTGCCCGCCTGTTTGGCTTTGGTGTGTGTGTGTGTGTGTGTGTGTGTGTGTGTGTGTGTGTGTGTGTGTGTGTGTGTATGTATGTATGTATGTAGACAACATCTCATTGTGTATCCCCAGCTGACCTGGAACTAGCATCGGTCATCTTGCTTCTACCTTCTATTTGCTGTGACTACGTTGTGCACTACCACATCTGGTTATTCATTATAAGTTTTGAACAGACTACCACATTGCTTTTTCTAGTGGCTTTAATCACAGTGTGGTAATACCAAAAGATACACTAAAAGATCTCATATTTTCTAGACATACCTTTCCTTTGATTGGCAACCCAACTCGCCCTTACATAGAAAATCTCTTCTTTGCTTATTGATTTGGAGGTTATAACTCAATGTTAGAGAGTGTGCCTAGCATGGACAAAGCTGGTTCCATACCCAGTACTGCCAAAAAATCTATACTTTTTTCCTTTGAGGATTTTAGATTTGTGTTTGGTGGAAGATAATATGAGCAATTTCAGTTCAGTGTAATTACTGGACATTTCCTTTATTATTTTATCCATAAACCATTTTGAAGTAAGAGAAATGGGAAAAGATGAGGCAAGTGGTGGGAGGTGAGTTGTTGATAAGAACTTCTGGTTCCTTGGGCTTCTGTCAACACAGAATTAATCACACTATGTTCTGATGAGTCCCACTTCTTCTCTTAGTAAAATCTGAAGAGTAATTTTCTTTAACACAATTGTGGTGGTTTGACTGTGAAATGTCCCCCATAGGCTCATGTGTTTAAACACTTGGTCCCTAGATGGTCATGCTGTTTGGGAAGGTCATAGAACATTTAGGAGTGGAACCTTGTAAGAGGAAGTACATCACTGAGGGCGGGCTTTGAGGGTTTGTAGCCTTGTTCCACTTCCTGTTATCGCTATTATTCCTGACTGCCCATGCAATGTAAGTGGCCAGCCAGCCTTATGTTCCTGGTGGTGATGGATTGTATCCCCTTGGAACCATAAGCTGGAATAAAGCCTTTCTCCCCTAAGTTGCCTTGGTCAAGTATTTTGTTGTAGCAACTTGTGAAGCAACCAAGAGGACAACTTTCAAGTTGTGTTTGTTTTTATTGTTAGGAATTGAATGACCTTCATGTAGAAGCACTTGCAGTGATAGCCAATTGCCTGGAGGATATGGACTCAATGGCGCTGCTGCAGCAGACAGGGGGCCTCAAAAAACTACTTTCATTCGCAGAGAACTCAACCATTCCTGACATCCAGAAGAATGCAGCCAAAGCCATTACTAAAGCGGCTTATGATCGTATGTGTCCTCTTAGCATAATCTCAACACACAGTTTCCTCTTGCATTCTTAATTCTGATGAATACTTATAAACGCTAGAGCATCAGCCTGCCTTGAATACCCCTCCGAGAAGAGCAGACTATGTAATAGTTAGAACCCAAACATCTCACAGTCAACAAGTTAAATTACAGATTGCTTTATAAACTTAATACCACTTAATCATCATCTATTTTTAAAAAGCAGTCCATTATGAGTTCATTTAAGCTTTAAGCCTTTATTTCTCCTGAAATTGGAATAACACAGAATACACATGGTATTTGTGATTCGGAAAGTGTTGTTTTGAGAGATCCACTTTCCAAGTGACATCTGAGGACTGTCAAGTTTCAGCCAGAAGCCAGCAGTGCAGTGTCACACAGCCGCAGAAAACAATATGCTGGCGCTATGTACATAATACGGTTTTTATTTCTGCGACAAGCTGTGTTCTCATAAGTCTATACAATAGGAGTGATTAATCACATCCCAAACACTGAAGATGCAATGACAGCCTTAATTTACGTATATATGGGGAATTTTGTAAATAAAAGATGGAAACTTATTTTAGCCCTTCTGCATCACTACTCTTAGAAATGATGGCAGCTTTGACTGTTTCTGTGATTTACATTCTAAACATACGTACTCACATCTGTATGTATGTCTGTGGATACATAGTGGAGAACATTTTTCAGCCCATACTGGATTTCCTAAAGTCTCAACTTTAATGCAGCAAACACAAGCTCACTGTGTGGTATACAGTCGGCATAGTGGGGCTTCATGAGTTACAGTGTCAGCACAAAATCTAAAGATAGGCTGTAAAATTAAGATTTTTTTTTTAAATATTGGAAACATATGTGAGGGGATTCAGTAAAGAAACTTCTGAAATGACCTCTCCATTATGGGAAGGTTTTTATTGGGAGTCAGAGAGAACATCAGAGGTGTCTGGAAGAGCGCGGAACAGAGGGAAAAGAAAGCGAACTGGACATGGCCAGAGTTATGTGCGAGAGAGAATAGTAGAAAGTGTACGATAGCAAGAGAGAATAGAAAGAAGAGTGAGCTTAGCTGTGGGTGGGCCAGGGTGTAAGTGAGAAGGGTCAGGATGCTATCCTGGAGGCTTTGAAGTGTATAACAAGTACTTGTGAGTAGAGACTGTAGGAGCCTGGAGACCAGCACGGGCTTTGATTTGTGACCACAGGTATGTTAGGGCCATATGTCCCTTCTGCTAGAGGTAGGGGAAATGACTCCTCTTGGGGAAGGAAAACCTGTTTGACAAGTTCCTGGGGGGTGCTGGCTTTTATCTAACTGTCAGGAATCCTGTGTAGTCTAGCTTCAGCTCATTTCTAGATATATGGACTGCCCAAGACCTAACAGGTAAATGTTGGTTTATCCCAGTTCTATCCAGGGGAGCTTAGATGTTGTCACACTGGGCCAGTTTTGTTTTCGTTCTATTCCAGGATTCTTGGTGAAGTGAGGCCCAAAGAGTGGTGTAATGGTAACACAAACACTGTCACACCCAACATGCTTTGCACGTCTTCTGTGAGGTCTGGTGTGACTGGGTCTTTCTAGATGTGTTGCCGCCCCAACTTGTGTGGTGAGTTTCATGGAGGTCATATAAAGTGAGGGCATGACTGCTTGAAGGTATGGTTGAGGGGAAGGTTCTTGTTGTAGATATGAGGGAGAGTACAGCCAGAGGCATCTGGAAGCAGTGAAAGAAAGTAGCACACTGAACATAGCCAGCGGAGTGGACTTGGCCGGGAGAGGAGAGAGAGATGGGGAGTGTGAGAGAGGAAGACAAAAGAGAGAGTGCATGGCCAAAACAGCAAGGTTGTATAGCAACGAAAAGCTGGGGGAAGGGAAGCCCATGTGTTGGAGAAGCTTAGGATAGATAGGGGGCAGGGTAAGAAGAGCTGGGAAGAGCCAGGGTGCCAGCATGGACTCTGTGACAGGTATTTGTGGTGTTGAGAGAGCCTGAAGGCCAGCGTGTGATTTGGAGGGATCAGTGGATAAACATGGTTGTTGTGCAAGCTTGAGGACCTGAGTTTGGATCCCAACACCCACACAGATTACACCTGCAATCCCAACACTGGAAGACAGGGGCAGTAGGATCCTGGAACTTGCCAGCCAGCCAGTCTAGCCAAATTGGTGAGCTCCAAGTTCAATGAGAGGCCCAGTCTCAAAAATAACTTGGAGAACAATAGAGGAAGATATCCACTGTTGACCTCTGGCTTCTAAACATATAGGTATAGGCATGTGCATTCCCTGTATGTACACACACATTCATGTACCACAAATATACTCACACAAATCTTGTGTATGATTTTAACATGATTTGAAGTGATTACAGAGAAGGTAGAATGACAGACAGACAGACATATACATACATACATACATACATACATACATACATACATACAGATACATGGTGCCATGACACAGATGAGGTAAGCACAGACTCAAGGCACTATGCAAGTAGAACCACCAGTCCCATTCTTGCCCCACAGAGAGGCTCTGTATGCATTTACAGAATGATTACATGGCTGAGGTGGGCAGGAGGTGATACTAGAGGGAGACCAGGTATCTGACTTGGACAACTGAGAATAATATGAAGCAACTCCTGAAATGGGAAGTCAGAAGAGGTGCAGGGTTGAAGAAAAAAAAAATGAGTGCCTACTGTGAGATATCCTGTATGCTGTGAAGATATGTTGCTATGATTGATTGATAAATAAAACGCTTATTGGCCAGTAGCCAGGCAGGAAGTATAGGCGGGACAAAGAGAGAAGAGAATTCTGGGAAGTGGAAGGCTGAGGCAGAGAGACACTGCTAGCTGCCACAAGGAGAAGCATGATGTAAGATACCAGTAAGCCACAACAAGCCATGTGGCAACTTATAGATTAATAGAAATGGATTAATTTAAGATGTAAGAACAGATAGCAAGAAGCCTGCCACGGCCATACAGTTTATAAATAATACAAGGCTGTCTGTGTTTACTTGGAGATTTGTCCCGACCTTTCCAGGCAGGACCAGGAAAACTTCAGCTACAAGTGCCTGCTTTAAAATTCTGGTCGTGTAAAATTCACCTCTGCATCCACTGTTAGGTGCACAGTTCAGCGGCATTAAAAACATTCCTCTTCCTGGGCCCTTTCCACACGCAGAACATCACCCGGAATGACTCACATGGCTGTCTACTCACTTCCCTCTGCCAACCACCCTTTGACTCCGTCCTTACAGATCCAACTGCTGTAGTCAGTCACTTCATGCTCTTAGGATGGTACAGAATTTGTCCCTCTGTGGCTGTGTGGCACTTGGCATGCTGTCCTCATAATGCCCATTCCTATAATAGCATGTGTCAAGATTTCCTTGTTTTTAAGGCTGAATAATACTTCTTTGTTGATGCCACATTTTGATTTCCCATTCAAGCACGGATGGACAGTTGAGCTGCTTTTTCCCTGTGAGCCATTGTGAATGCAGCTGCTATGAACATGCATAAACAAATATTCCTTTGACTCTCTGCTTTCACTTCTTGTGGTATGTACCAGGAAGGCTTGCTAACGCACATGCTAATTCTATTTTCTAATCTTTTGAGGGGCTTCAATGGTGTTTTCTCTAACAGCTGCACTTTCTTTTTCATTCCCATGGACAATGCGCAGGGTTCCAGTTTCTCCACGTGCTGGCCCAAACTTGATAGCTTTTTTTTTTTTTTTTTTTTATAGTAACTGTCCTACTAGGCACACAAAGGCATCTCATAGTTGTTTTTATTTTTATTTCCCTAATAATTAGCAATGTTAACTAACTTTTTCACCCTCTTATTAATCACATGTGTATAATTTTCAGAGAAACGTCGTAGTCGTTTGTGTGTGTGTACAGGTATGAATGCATGTATGTCAAGGCCAGGAAACAGCCTTGCGTGTTCCCTCAGGCACTGTCCACCTTTTTCTTTTGCTGTTGTTGTTGTTGCTAGGCAAGGTCTCTCACTGGCCTGGGACCTACCATGTAGCCTAGGCTGACCGACTGGCCTGCTCAGGGGATCCACATGCCTCCATTTTCCCAGGGCTGGGATTATAAGCAGGAGTCAACGCTGCCTAGTTTATTTTTAACCTGGGTTCCGGGGGATCAAACTCGGGTCCTTGTGACTGAACTGTCTTCTGAGACCCTTTTCTTACTTTTTATTTTGAGACAAGGGTCTCACTAAGCGCCCGGACTGAACTTGCACTCACCCTCTAGACCAATCAGGCCTTATACTTGTGGTCCTTTTCCTCTGACTCCCAGGACTCTGGGTTCTCAGGGCCACCTTTGCTTTGCTGTAGGGATTCTTCATGTGTCATGGGTACCAACCCTTACCTATGATTAGCCAACACTCTTTCCCATTGTGTGGCTGCCTTTTTACTCTGATGATTGTGGTTTTTGATGCATGGATGTTTTTCATTTTGATATAGCTCAGTTCATCTATTTGCAGCATCATGTCCAAGTGTGTTTTATCAAACCCATTGTCATGAAGGCCCTCTCCACTCTAAGGGTTCCATGTCTTCAGCTCTTATCATTTGGTTCCTGGCCTACTTTGAGCTATTTTTTGCATGTAATTTAAGGAAGTACCCAACTTCTCACTTCTATAGGCATATAGCCAATTTTCCTAGCATCATTTGTTGGAATCCATTTTTTTTTTTCCTTTGTAACACAAAGTAATTCAGGCATCTAGTCTCGGAGCTCTTTGTGACACTTAATGTCTTCTGATTCTACTTTCTTATGTTAGTTCTAAAATAACTACGCTTCAGCTTCAAGTCGTGTCTCCTCAGTCTTAATTTTAGGATCTAATGCCTAAATCTGTATTGACGTCGCCTCTGCCTCCGTCACTGTACCTTCCCTTTAACCAAGACTTTCTTACTCAGGAGCCCTCCTTTCAGACTCTTCTGCCTGCATCCTGTCCCCAGGCCATCCTGTGACCATTCTTCCATCTGCAGGACTTCCTTGTGATTGTGAGATGTCCCCCCTT